TTGACTAAATACGTAACCATAATACAATATGTAAAAACACAAAAATCAAAGCTAAACAAACACACATATTGTAACAACCTTTAATAACCCTATACACAAACTATAAAGCCATAACATCACACACTCACATAAAAAAATAACAACACTTATTCAAAGAAAAATATAAGAACAAAACGATATTGATATAATATGATCTATGAAAAAATACAAAAATAAGAGAAACGAAACAGAAGAGTAATATGATGTAAAATAACACAAGTTAAAATAATAAAAAATACCAATCTGACAAAGAAAAACATAATTGAAGGACTCAATGCATTCAAATAAGTAACAAACAAATTGACAGTATAAAACTCAAAATAAATTAACACATACAAAAATCGTAGAATACACTGAAATATAAATGCTTACTAACAATACTGACACTCACAAACATACTACTAGATAAAGAAGTATAATATATATAAAAAACTATGAAAGGTAGAATAGGTATATAAGCAAATGAAAACATAAGAAGAGCATAATTCCGTATAATAAAAACACTGATATATTTTAGATAAACATGGTTACACAGTTGATACTAGAAATAATGAATGACTATAAATCAATAAAAATAACATCGTAAATATAATAATCTACGTGAATACACTATAATGAAAAAGAGAATAATAAATATAAAAGAATAAAAAGTAAATCACAACGCAAGTAAATGAAAATAATGAATAGAGAATGAACAACAACTAATAACACAATAAAAGTCGTAGAAATCTAAAAATACCATAAAACAAATACTGAAAAATAACACGTGTATACAATATATATTATCACAACGACAAAACAATACATATCAAAAACGAAGCAACAACAAATACACATATGTACTATAAACAACCCATGAGTCTATATTATACATACCCACAAACTCTATTTAAAAAAAATCTTTTATATTAGTTATAAAAGAAAAATATTCAATGATACAAGATAATATTACAAAAAACCTATATAAAATAGTAACTCAAACCCCAAACCTAACAATATGAATAAACGCTTGAATATTAAAGTATAAATACATTGCTCTTAGAAATAACGAAACCAATTGCGAACATACTAAAATAATCTAACAAGACAAAACTTACTAATAAAAACTATATACTAAAAATGTAAAGGATAAGAATATAGTACATATGTAGAATATTAAAATCATGAACTAATTAAAGTATATCACAAAATACGAACAATATACAATAATCTAAATATAATTAAATAATGGATGATAAGATATAAAACGCACTCATACACAATTTAGATATGCGAAAATATATTTAAACACGAGAAAATAATCTGAAAATCAGATACGTTATGTGATGTATATGTGGAGTCTAGGGCAATGCAAAACACTTAATAACATGATTTGAACAATTAAAAATATATAAGTAATGGTAGATATTTTCAGTGAAAATACACAATATAACATAGTGTATGATACATAAAATAATGTAATAAATAATACAAAAATCAATACAATCAACGATATATAAGTCAACCAAAGAAACATAGTCGTAAAAATAATAACACATATAATAACGACCGGTATAAGGAAAGATGATTTATAGGAAGAGAGCATGTAGTCGCGAAACGACGAAACAAGAATAGTGGGAAGCCCCGGAGTCAAAGAGTGATAACATAGGGATAAAACAAAATCTATCAAGAGAATAGGATAATGACTCAAGAATAGTCTCACGGATAAAATATGATATGCGTCTAAATTATCCATTATATTCTTATTAGTAAGTACTCGGGATCGTGACCTACATGGGCCACCACTAAAGCCTGTCACGCCCCGCTTTCCAAAATATCCAGAATCAGAACGTAAACAAGTCCGTGACGTATTAGATTAAGGAGAACAAATAAAAATAAATATTTCTCCTCAACCTAATACGCTAAGTGTCTAGAAATAAATACAATGCGAAGTCACAGGTCCCCGATCATAGTTAGCAAGAATATAATAGACAAACTCAGAACAAAATATTACATATCACAAATGAAGATCATCCAAGATATAATATTCGGGTCAACATGTCCTTATACAAAACTGAACAAATGAATACTGGAGAAGTATAAAATACATCGATCAACGGGAAAAAGAAAGAACTACAAAAGTAAGCTGGAACCATCAACTAATAAAAGAAACACTAGGCTTCGGCTTCTTCTGTTCTGTCTGTAAGACACCCATGCTAAGAATCCTTTGGTTCCTGACGATCTCCTAGCTGATCCTGTTCTTTCTCTAAGTTTAACGTACACCAAAGAAAACAGGTGTACGTCAGCGTGCATGGCACACAACAAGATCCCACAAAACAAATAGAGCTAACGAAAACTCAAGCAGAAAACGATACGATAATAGAAATAAAAAAAAAATGTGTAACTGGAAATTCAACAAAATCAATCAAGTAACAAGTCGATCATGCAGCAAGCGATCAGAATAATCATCCAAGTAATAATGTCATACAACTAGATAAAATTAATACTTAAAAATCTACAACAAGAGATGCAGTACGTCGAGCGAAATAATCCAAACAAGGAAACCCTCATGTATATACCATATATCTCAAATTATAGATAATTAAATATTAACCCCTATCT